GCTTAATTTTATAGTTTTTTTTAAAGTGAAAGAAACTGTTAATCCCTTGTTATCTTGAAGGAGAGGGATTGAGAAATTTATATGTCTCAGTTATGCCTTAGTGTACAATATGACTTCTAACTATGTGCTTGTAATACATATATGTTGTAAATTTGTGAATTCATTTTAGGAGCCTGCTTAAAGATGCAGTCAGGCAGTTGTCAAGTGTCTAAAGCTTAGGAGAAAACTTACATTAACCCAGTTGGAGTAATACAGAGGCAAAGAGAGGCAAGAATGTATAAGTAGAAATTTAAAAAGAAACATTTTTTAAATAAAAATTTACTTTTACAGGTGTGTGTCTTTTTAGAAAGTGATGGAGAAATTTGGAGGTTTGTTTTATTTATGTTAAGTGAAAACTGTTTCCCTTTCGTATAAATTTTTCCATTGATTGCTGTTAAAGGGTGGCACTGTGCTTCCATAATAGGTGGAAAAACAAAAGAAAGCAATACTCTTGGCTTTTCTAATTAATGTTAGGTGGTGTTGGCTGCCTGACTAGTACAGAGTAATAGGATTCATCATTTCTAGCACCTTCCCTATTCTTAAACTCTGTCAGTGTGCAGCAGTTGATGCCAGATTTTTTAGCAACTATTTTAAAGCAAAATTCCTTTTTTAATTTCTTAGAATTTGTTCAAGGAGAGAGAGAGAGGTTGGGGTGGCACATAGCATAGCCTACACACACGATATACACATCTGTGGCTATCCTCTTTTTGCTTCTAGTTATTTTTAGTTTCTCTATTAGTTAATGGTAGCATCTATTTTAGAATAGTGGCTTTTAAGACCTTATAAGTTAAAGATAGCAAAGTTTCTGCAAAGAAACATTACAGTTTTTAATATCATTTTTCAAGTGTTTAGCACTTAGTTCTAGTAGTATTTGTGATTGCTTAAAATAGTCTTCTATTCTGATTCAGAGGGAAACATTTCTAAACCCTAAGAAAGGAAGAACTATACTTGAGCATATTTGTATCATGTCTTGTTTGGTAGTAAGGCTACATACATCAGGATATTTTAACCATACCATTCATCAATAGAACTAGCTCCTATGTTGTATTAGTGATATACCCAATTTTTATTGTATATGTTAAATAGTTTATAGAATGTTATTTGCCCTCTAAAAGTTAGTTTCTAATTGTTTTGTTTCATAGAAGTCTATGATGAAATAAACCTTTGATTTACTGTATTCTAAATCTTTTTAAGTAAATCTTATTTGGTGTCTTACTACAATAAAGCTATACTTTCGACAGCAAGCTTGACTCAATTTAAGGATTGATTCTGAAGATTGGAGCTGGTATTAGAAAAGGTACCATTAAAGAAAATAGAGGATTTTTGATATTTATTGAATTCATTTATTCCTTAACATCTCCTTCTATAGCTTATCTCCTTTTATAATTGTCAATCCTAAAATATTTTCATATCTTGTCTGGAAAAATTTTGATTGAATAAAGGCCTAAAAGCATGTGCTACTCTGAGCTATGTTAAATTCTCTACAACTGTATTTCAGGAGGGGCATCTGGGTGGCTCAGTCAGTTAAGTGTCCCGACTCTTGATTTCGGCTCAGGTCATGATCTCTCTGGTGGTGAGATCAAACCCCTCGTCAGGCTCCATGCTCAATGGGGAGTCTGCTTGAGATTCTCTTCGTCTCCCTCTGCCCTTCCCCCTGCTTATGTGCGCAGACGTTCTCTCTCTCTCAAATAAATAAATCTTTAAAAAAAAAATATATATATATGTGTTTGTATATAAATTGTGTATATATATATATAATTATTTTTAGGATAGAACGTTACTGTTGTCATAGTAAAAGGAAAGGTACAATTAATGAATAATATAAAAGTAATTTCAGTTTGCTTTGGGCTTTGCAAAGCTTCCTGTTCATGGCTGTACCTAATCCTCTTCTAGTTGGTCTGTATATTTAGCTTTATATCTGATTGAAGCTATCTCTGTCGTTAACCATTTGGTCATATGTGAGAGTTTGTTTTAGAAAAGGAGAAGTGTTATTCCTGTTTCGCAAAAGTATGTGTATACTATATAATTGGATAGTGATGAAATAACTGAGTTTTTAATCTGGCATCTTTTAAAAATCACCATTTTTTCTATTCTTACCATTTTTAAATATAGAAGGATGTGTAATGTAAATTATATTTTAAAATTTGTTGTGACTTGATACTCTTGGTATTATTAACTACATTTAAATTCTTTGCATATCCCAATGTTTGTGAGAACCATTCAATAAAATAACAAGTTGTCTTTAGGCACTGCATTTGGTTTACTCATTTTTATTCTTCATAGAGCCCTGTGCAGTAGCATTGGTCCTTTTAATGTTACTGCACACTAATTTAACTACCTATGTAAACAGTGTGGCAGTTTTCCTGCTTCTGCCAGAGGACAACTTAATATGAAAAACAGAGTTGTTTTATTCAGCCCTTCACAGAGTAGTAGTGTCTTTCAGGTTGGTGGTGGGGAGGGGTAGTGGGATCTTATACTTTTCCCCTATGAATAGTTATTTGAATACACGTACTTAAAATCTGTCTAGCCCTACCTTTGCTATATATTACCTTAGCAAGCCATTTTTTTCTGCATAATTTGCACATCAAAGAGAAGATACCCTTCATTTCTTATCTTGTTAATTTTTAAGTATTAAGTAAGAAAATCTGTGTCAAAGTAGATGGAAAAACTGTTTTCAAAGTATTTATGTTAGAATCTAGTAGTTCAAAAAACAGTTATTTAGGGTCTAACATGGTAAGGTATAAAGCTACTCTTAAGAAATAAATGTTCATTTATAGAACAGAACTATTCTAACAATTGTGGGGTTTTTTAGAGACAGAGCATGAGCAGGGGTGCGGGCAGAGGGAGAGGGAGAAGCAGGCTCCCCACTGAACAGGGAGACCGACGCAGGATCATGGCCTGAGCTGAAGGCAGACATTTAACTGACTGAGCCACCCAGGCGCCCTATTTTAACAATTAATTGTAAAACATATCCCTGTTGACTAGATAGCACCATGTTCTCATGGAAGAACGTTTTTATAGACTTGGGATTTTAGTTTTGGGGATAAATCTAGGGCATATTGGGAATAAAAATGGCACTTACGATATTTGATAGGTTTAGAAAATATCAGTTATCTTTTTGATGGCCTCTGTTTCAACCTTAGTTTATAGAGTATAGAGTGCTTCTAGTGCTGGGCATTGGTGAATAGATTTAAAGATCTATCCCATTCATTCAAAGATTTTATGAGCTAGGAAATGCCTTCATCATTCCCAAATCTTAACGTCTCTTAGGATTTTTTGTCCTAAATTGTAGGACAGATAAGTGGTAGCAGTATCACTTTCTGATGAATAAAAGATGGCTTATTTTAAAAGTACAAGGTACTGTATTTTAGGATTATTAGTGCAACCACAACATCTCTATCCTATGTGACTTTTAGATTTGACGTATTCATTTAGGAAATACTTGTAGTAACTTTTACGTGCGAGGTGCTGTTCTAGGCATTTGGGATAATTCAGTGAACAAAGACAAGATCCCCATCGTTTAGGGGCTTACATTCTATGAGAGTGACAGTCAACAATAAACATAAGCAAGTTATATAAGAATATTTAAAGATAAGTGCTGTGGATGGAAAAACAGAGCGGGACAAGGGGGTTCAGTGTTGAGGCAGTTGGGCATTTTGCAATTTTAAATAAGGATTCATACATAAGGTGACATTTAAACAAAAACTTTTAGAAGTGAGGGAGATGGCCATGCTATTTCAAGAAAGAGTGCTCCAAACAAAGGGAACAGCCAGCAGTATATCTGGCCTATTTGAGGAACATCAAGAAAGTTCTTGGAAGCAGAGTGAGAGAGGAAGGAGTAGAATAACAGAAGATGAAGTTGGAGAGGAAAAGAAAAGAAAGATATGGAAAGCTTTGGTAGGCTATTACAAGGACTTTAGTTTCTATTCAGAATTAAATAGTCCTTGCAGGATTTTGATCATGGTCTGACTAGAAGCCTAGCTGCTGCTTTCTGGCAGCATGGGAAACTCAGCTTTACAAACCACAGAGAACATGAATTTGGGAGTCAAAAAGTGTCTTATACAAACCAAAATCAAATCATTCAGTATTCACACTCACCAAGCAACCTGGTCTTCAGAGATAGAAAAGTCCTGATGCTTTCCAGGATTCTGGTGGTACAGATCAGCTTGTTGTGTCTTCTTTCTCTTAACCTTAGATTTCAACTTTCTCTGGTCTGTCAGTTTCTACTAGTTTGTCTTTCCAACTTCACTGTTGTTTCCTCTCTTATTCTGTTGTCCTTTGTCATTTTATTGGTTATTTTAGGAGAATACAAAAAAAGTATGTTTATTAGTCACCATGTGAAACCATAAGGCTAATAATATAAAAATAGATTTTTCCAAAGTGATCAAAAGAAGCCTCTAAGGTACTTGCACTGAAACTTGCCATTATAAAACCTCTTGTCAGAATTAATAATAGTTATAATGTTATTTTTGTGAAACAGATCAGGTCTTTAAAATTTTATAACTTTATCCACTAATGCAGTGGGAAAAGGATAATCACTTTCATTGTATAAATGTATAAATTGTATAAAACTTGTCTTGTCTCACCATATAGTTAGTCCACATTCTGAGAGTTCCTGTCCTGGAGCAGTCCAGTCCCTTTCAGTGAATGGATTTGGACAAGTTAATGCATTTGAGGATCTGGGAACAGAGTGGACTACCAAAAGACAGTGTATTTTGGTGGAAAGAACATATAGAGAGGAGGCTTAGATTTTAGCTTCATTTCTCTATTGCTAAATTTGAAGGTTTAATCATATAATCTTTCTATGCTTAGATTTCTTCATTTATAAAATGAAGGATTGCAGGTTGGATCATCTCTAAATAATCCTGAAAACTTCATGATTCTTAAGTCATATTGGAATTTTTTTCTGCTTTTATGGAAAATAAATATAATTAATTTTCTAATTTTGTTTTTTTATGCAGGTTAATGGTGCAATGTAAGAAACCTTTAAAAGTTTCTGATGAATTAGTACAGCAATATCAAATTAAAAATCAGTATCTTTCAGCAATAGCATCTGATGCAGAGCAAGAATCTAAAATCGATCCATATGCATTTGTTGAAGGAGATGAGGAATTCCTTTTTCCTGATAAGAAAGACAGACAAAATAGTGAGAGAGAAGCTGTAAAAAAACATAAGGTGAGTAAAAGAAATCAAAGTACACCAAAGGGTGACTGATGATTTGTAACACTGCATATAGGTACCACACTTCTCATTGTTTTCTTTTAAAATAGAACAGATTAAAAAAAAAAATTTATCATTGTAACTTAGGAAAACTTTTTTTTTTAAAGAGATAGAGCAAGAAGGACCCGGGTGGGGGGAGGGCAGAGACAGAATCTTTTTTTTTTTTTTTTAAGATTTTATTTATCAGAGCAGGAGCAGGGAGGGAGGGGCAGAGGGAGAGGAAGAAGCAGACTCCCTGATGAGCAGGGAAACCTGATGGGGGGCTCGATCCCAGGACCCTGAGATCATGACCTGAGCTGAAGGCAGAGACGCTTAACCAACTGAGCCACACAGGCGCCCGGAAAGAGAATCTTAAGCAGGCTCCACGCCCAGCACAGAGCCCAACATGGGGCTCAAGCTCATGACCCTGATATCATGACCTGAGTCAAAATCAAGAGTTGGGACACTTAACTGACTGAGCCACCCACGTGCCCCAGGAAAACATTTTTTTTTTTTTTAATAGGTGAATCAGGCACATTATACAAAATTTAAGAGCTGTGTGGCCTTTATAGCTGGTCTCTCATAAAGAAAAGATTTTTTTATTGTTTACATTTAGTTAGATAAACTATTTTGATACTGAGTTAAAATATGTTATAGGTGAATTGCCAGTTTTCAAAAATACAATAAAATACACAATGCTTAGTTTACAAAATATACGATATTTTTAAATGTGAGTTAAGAACTTATAGTGTCCCTTGAAGTAATATACTTAGCATAGGATATAGAAATATTTATTAAAATTTTAAAAATCAGAGGATCTATTAAGCACAAGGTAACTCTGTTAGATAAGAATTTTGCCTTAAATACAATATATGGAAATTTAAAAGCTATAAAATTGTGAAAAGAACCCAATAATAAGTTTAATACAGAGAATTCATTTCACAAAATTTTTAGCCTTACTCCGTGCCCGGTACTTGAAGTTTTGTCCTTTTGTAAATATGAAAACAGTAGTAGCTGGGAAGGCTATAGGTACTGTAGAAAGAACATGGACTTTGGAAATTGACAGATTTTTGTTGGAATCCCAGCTCCACTATTTATTTATCAGATATATTTCCTGGGTTATCTTTAACACTATTTTTTGTCTATAAGTTGAGCATAGTACTTACTTATTATATAGGTTAGTTGTGGAAATTAGTATGTCTGTAGAACACTGCAGTATGCTTGACACGTAGTTACTCAATAGTTGGAAGATTTTGTTATTTTAAATTATATATTTCAATCTAATATGTAATACTGTTTGCAGGTAGAAGATGGGCCATCTAGTGTAACAGTGTTATCACATGAGGAAGATGCTATGTCATTATTTAGTCCCTCTATCAAGCAAGGTAAAACTTCTATTTCCTAATAAAAATAATGGCATTGAAGGATTATTACTACAAGCTAATTTGATATTACTGGACTTACAGTGTTCCTTTTTGCATAATTCATATGTTTCATGGAGAGGTACCTATCTTAAAATGATAGATTTATTGTTTATTTTGTACTGGGAGAAGCAGTTGAGGTGATAGAAATTCTGTTTTCAATTGTTGGAACTTTACTTTCTCACAAATAAAAATAGTTCTTATCTATAAAATGAGATTTAAAAAGATCATCACTTAAGGTCCCTCTCAGATCTGAAAACTTATAAATTAGGCTTAACTATAATTTTGTTGTCCTTTTCTCTCTCACTCAAATTAGAAGAACGGTTGCTGAAATTATTAATTTAACAAATATTTATCAAGTAGGTATTATATGTAGACACAGTTCTTGCCACTGAGGCCAAGGCTCCACTTTGAAAGTAAAGTATCTGACTAGTGCTTGTTGTGCTTGGAATAGACGGACACAACACATTATTTCTTTAACAAAATCTATTTAACTTTTGATGAAGGCAAAGGAAGTTGTCCTTCTGTAGGTGTTTGTTTAGGGACAAAGTTTTGTTTTAATATTTGGGATAGAGAGGGTCAGGCTCTGTGCAACCAAAAACAAGAATAAGGAAGAAATGGTCTTTAATGAAGCAAAATCAGTTGATAATTTTGAGTAGCTTGGTAAGTTAACAGTTTGGGTTCTTTGGGCTGTTCACCTACCCTAGGATATAGAGAATGTATAATCGCTATTTTGTGCTTTCTCAAAATACAGACCACGTACCACATTCTGGAGCATCTTTTGAGGTGGAGCTTGGAGATCTTGGTTTTTAATAAGTACCCTAGATGATTTTTTTTTACACCAAATTTCAGAATTAGTGCTCCAGTGAATTTTTAGAACGGACATACAGAGGCACTTGGAAAGTGGCTTTTATCTTTCTGAAAATGAGGACTATTTCAAGTCACTTGATATTCCAAGGATGCTTTAGAAGGTTATATACCAAACTGCAAATTTGGTTTTTTTGTGTGGGAATGTAAGAGGAGTTTTAACTTCCATTGGTGTTTTTATTTTTTTTTAAGTAATCATGTATTTTTTCCACTATAATTGGGGGGGGGAGAAAAAGGAAAGTAAAATTCTAGAACTAAAATGAATCTTAACCAAAAGGTAATATTTATTGAGTACTTAAGTACCTTAACCAAAAGGTAATATTTATTGAGTACTTAAGTACCTAGCACTGTACAAAGTGCTTTAGCTACGTCCTTTCGTGTTTAATTCTTGCCATTACTAAGGTACAGAGAGGTTAAGTAACTTGCTCAGGGTCATTCTATTAGTGTTAGAGTTGGGAATTCAGATTACTAATAATCCATCTGACTCAAGAGCCAGAGCACCTAGTCCTCATACGATGCTTGTTTTACATTTCAGGAAGATAGAAAAATAAAAATGTGTGTGTGTGTGTACTGTTGTCCTAAGAATGTATGTCTTTTTATTTGATATATAAAATCAGAGTACTTAGCCATGTTATGGATTACATAGCTTTTGGTGAGCTTCCTGGAGAAATTACTACTGTTTATTTGCAACTTTATTTCTATGAAAAAAATTTTTAGATTTTAAGCAAATCATAGTTTCTTATTGCAAAATACTCTTATAAGTTTAAAGTTAGATATCTAGTTTAAATAACTAGAATAATACTTATTTGGTCAGTAGTAGAATCTTTTATTTTGTTTTTCTGATTGACTCTGATTGACATATATAGATGCTCCACGCCCTACTAGTCATGCCCGTCCTCCATCAACCAGTTTGATTTATGACTCAGACCTGGCTGTCTCTTATACTGACCTTGATAATCTCTTCAATTCTGATGAAGATGAACTAACAGTGAGTATTTTATTAATAGTTAAGGTTATAATTTCTTTTCCTTGATTTTATATAGACTTTTCAGAAGTGATATGTGACTTGAATAGTACATTTGAGCCCTGAAAAATAGGAAATATTTTGGAATAAAATTTTATTAATTGGTTTCTTTTTTTAAAACTTACATTTGAGCAGTCTTGGCATAGTGTCACCTATAAGCTGTGGGGTTTTTTTTCTTTATTTTTATTTTTATTTATTTATTTTTTTAAAAGATTTTATTTATTTATTTGACAGAGAGAGACATAGCGAGAGCAGGAACACAAGCAGGGGGAGTGGGAGAGGGAGAAGCAG